GCCTCCTGGTAGCCGAACTGCCGGAACCGCTGGCGGAAGGCCTCGGGGCTGGAGCGGCCTCTGCGGGGCAGGCCGGGTTCCAGGTCCCAGGCCTCCTCCTGCCCTTCCATCTTCACCACCACGACGCAGTCGGGCTCCTCGGCAGCTGGCGGGAGGCACGTTGGTGCCGACATGGGCGCGGAGAGCTCAGGACGGCCAGGCTGTACTTCTCCGGGAGGGGGAGCTCTCCTTAATGGATGCTCCTTAAACAGGACGAAAGAAACAAGTGGAACAAGACAAAGACAGTAAATGCTCCTGAGAACAAAACAATTAGGACTAGAAACAAGACTGGCCAGAAAGTACTGCTCTTCATCTTCACATACATCATGCTCTCAAAGAATACGCCCTTCTTTAAGAGAACCAAAGAGCTCAAGGATAAAGTGAATGCATCCATTCACAGGCATGAGTAACTCCCCCTTTATCCTGAGAACCATGCCCACAGGCTGACTTCCTGTAAACAGCGCAATGAGAGACCAACCAGGACGGCATAGGCGCTCCGGGCGCACAGGCACAGCGCAGCCTGGGGAAAGCTATGCCTCTGGGACAGGCTCAAAGGGCCGGTTAATTTTTTTCCAGCCTGCTGCAAAGAGTTCTAAGAAATAGTCTCGAGATGAAACAGGAATTTTAGGGATAAAATGGGACAGGTTTAGGAAATTTTAGAAATTTTGGAAATTAAGGGGACCATGGAGGAGGCACAGGGCTGCAGAACAGCTGAAGGTATATTTCCATAGAATAGGGAAGCTGAAAAGCTGCAACAGGAACATTTCCATAGAATGGGGGAGCTGGAAACAGCAAAAGGTCTATATTTACAACAACAAAAAAAGAGAGAGGGAAGGAAGCCCTTCATCCAGAAGAAGAAAGCCCAAAGGGAATAGGAAAACAATAAGGGGTGGGGGAGTACCTCTCATGTCCATTGTGAGGTTGGACCTTTGAGCCCAGGAGGAACTATAGCAGTGGTTCTCAACCTTCCTAATGCCTCGGCCCTTTAATACAGTTCCTCATGTTGTGGTGACCACCAACCATAAAATTATTTTCGTTGCTACTTCATAACTGTAATTTTGCTACTGTTATGAATCGTCATGTAAATATCTGATATGCAGGATGTATTTTCATGGGGACAAATTGAACATAATTAAAGCATAGTGATTGATCACAAACTAAGGGAATGGTGACCAATCAGAGGGGATATCAAGGCACCAGGATCTGCAACCTTTATAAGCCATAAGGAAAAGGAACTTAGGGGGGCCCTTTCCCCCTCCCTACGTGGAAGTCCATTCTGGGGGACCCTTTCCCTCTCCCCAGGTGGGAGTCTGTACTTGTTCTTCAATAAATCTCCACCTTTGCTATACCACTTTCTGTCCGTGGATTCATTCTTTGATTCCGGCGGGCAAAGAATCCAGGTTCCAGTCCAAAAATCCCGTTTCAGAGAGCTAAGTGCTTTTGTGTGCATTTTTGTAATGTTTACTAATTTTTAAAAACAATATTATTTTGACATTAAAGGAGCCATTAAAAAAGGTAATCGCAAATCCTTCTACCTTAATGTATTCCCATTTCCCCCCATACTCACTTCTACTTCCCATCCGTAACATTTATATTATTTAGTTAACTGTATCTGTTGTACAGTCTTAGGTTGTTTTAATTGTTACTATTATAAATAACGCTGGGAGGCACATTTTCATGAATATGCCATCTTTCTTCTTTTTAAATTATTTTCTTCAAGTATGTCCCAAGGCCTTGCCTTATTGAGGTCCAATGGGAGTGGCAAATTCTGTCTTGCTATGTATTATCACATACATTACAGAAAAGACGACCAGTTCACAATACCACCAGCAACGTAACTGTGGATGAGAGCAGCAGCTTCTCCGAGAATCATTAGCGTGTTCGCGGAGGGGGCACTTTTCTTCATGTAACATTTTACTGAGGACGTTTGCACAGCACCATTTCAATGTCATCAGGTAGATGATGATCAGCATCCGATGACCGATTGAAAACTCCTACACGCGCTCCTATTTCTCCCTGACGTAGCCCGACATCCCCCCTTCCCCCGCCACTGCACCAAGCCCAGTTCTAGGCACCGAAGACACACTGAGCAAAGCCCATGCTCCTTCAGGCTTGCGGATGAGGAACCGGGCCGGGCGGGCTCAGGTACCGCGACCTCGGGCCAGGGGACGGGGCTGGCGTCCGCAGCCAGGCCACCCACACGGGGCCGCGCGGTCAGGAGGCCGGAGGCCGGAGCCCCTGCTCGGAGGATGGAGTCTGGGTGGCGCCAGTAGCGGCGGGAGGGTGGGCCAGGAGTTGGGAGCCCTGTGGGATGTCACATGGAGGGAGGGTGGGCCAGGGGTTGGGAGCCCCGTGGGATGTCACATTGGGGGAGGGTGGGCCAGGAGTTGGGAGCCCTGTGGGATGTCACATGGAGGGAGGGTGGGCCAGGGGTTGGGAGCCCCGTGGGATGTCACATTGGGGGAGGGTGGGCCAGGAGTTGGGAGCCCTGTGGGATGTCACATGGAGGGAGGGTGGGCCAGGGGTTGGGAGCCCCGTGGGATGTCACATTGGGGGAGGGTGGGCCAGGAGTTGGGAGCCCTGTGGGATGTCACATGGAGGGAGGGTGGGCCAGGGGTTGGGAGCCCCGTGGGATGTCACATTGGGGGAGGGTGGGCCAGGAGTTGGGAGCCCTGTGGGATGTCACATGGAGGGAGGGTGGGCCAGGGGTTGGGAGCCCCGTGGGATGTCACATTGGGGGAGGGTGGGCCAGGAGTTGGGAGCCCTGTGGGATGTCACATGGAGGGAGGGTGGGCCAGGGGTTGGGAGCCCCGTGGGATGTCACATTGGGGGAGGGTGGGCCAGGAGTTGGGAGCCCTGTGGGATGTCACATGGAGGGAGGGTGGGCCAGGGGTTGGGAGCCCCGTGGGATGTCACATTGGGGGAGGGTGGGCCAGGAGTTGGGAGCCCTGTGGGATGTCACATGGAGGGAGGGTGGGCCAGGGGTTGGGAGCCCCGTGGGATGTCACATTGGGGGAGGGTGGGCCAGGAGTTGGGAGCCCTGTGGGATGTCACATGGAGGGAGGGTGGGCCAGGGGTTGGGAGCCCCGTGGGATGTCACATTGGGGGAGGGTGGGCCAGGAGTTGGGAGCCCTGTGGGATGTCACATGGAGGGAGGGTGGGCCAGGGGTTGGGAGCCCCGTGGGATGTCACATTGGGGGAGGGTGGGCCAGGAGTTGGGAGCCCTGTGGGATGTCACATGGAGGGAGGGTGGGCCAGGGGTTGGGAGCCCCGTGGGATGTCACATTGGGGGAGGGTGGGCCAGGAGTTGGGAGCCCTGTGGGATGTCACATGGAGGGAGGGTGGGCCAGGGGTTGGGAGCCCTGTGGATGTCACATTGGGGGCCCTAAGCTGAAGCTGCCTCTCAAGTCGCAGCAGAGTCGCCGCCGAGCCTGCGCCGTCCCCACAGTTGCGCTCAGCGCTACACAGGAGACGGGGACGACACCCCGACCCCGACCCGCAGGGGCCGGTAACGCACCCGGTCCCGGGAGGAAGGCTTCGCCCACAGTCCAGGATCCGGGGCACCTGCGGGGAGGACCGCCTCCCACTTGGAAACCCCTCTTCGGGGGCGGGGGCCCGGCTCCACGAGGGCTGGCGACC